CGGCGGGCCCCGCCTCTACCCCGAGATGCCGCGCGGCCGGCTCCGCCCGGGCGGGGGGACCCGTGCGCCGCGTGCGCCCTCTGCGCCCGCCCCGCGCCGGGAGGGGACCTGTGCGCCGCGTGCCGGTCCGGGCTGCCAAAGGGTCGGGGCGAGCGCAGCTTTAGCCGCAGCACCGGGAATGTGCAATAGAGACCGGCGACGGGGGTGTCCTCCTGAGCCCAAGGTCACAGCCGGGGGGGGGGGGGGCGGTGCCAGCAGAAGATCCGTTTTTACCCGGCTCACTGAGGATCTTCCACCCGCTGCTCCAAAGGCACGCTTTATGGATGAAAATAAGTTCTAAGGCACCTTCGTGTGTCCCAGAAGCACTTTGCTGCTGGGGGACTAAGAAGGACCCGGAGCGTTCCAGTGGCTGTTGGTTTCGTTTGGGTCGAGTGCTCCTTTCACCGGAGACCTCCTGGGTGACGCACGGCCCGGGGGTGACCTTAGACTGTGCTGGTGGAAACAATCTCGTACAGGCCCCAGGGAGCCCCGGACCTCGCTCTCCACCCTGCCGTTTATCGGCGTCGGGCCCCTCGCTTTCCCTTCTCTGGACCTCGATTTCCCTTCTGAGTGGGGGGTAGGGTGGTTCTTTACAGTCCCTTCGGTTCTGATCTCCCAGTCTGACTTCCTTTTAGGAAACAATTTTTGGTGCATTTGAGAGACAGAGAGAGGACTGTGACTATCCCGTTTCCCGCAAACTTCTTACACGTTCCCATAAATTTACCCACATCAGCCATGTGTCTCACATCCTTTACTCTTCTTTAGAGAAAGAACATTCTGGAACCTCTCCCTATCGTGTTCTCCTGTGCTCACGGCATCCACCGAGGGTATTGTAAAAAGCGCCCTTCTCTCTCCCCTTTTTGCCCGTGTTCCCTGGGGCAGGCACTCGCGGAACCCATTTTGGGCACAAGCCTACAGGTTGGCCACCACCTGGGAAGCTTGCTCCGAGGAGAAATGGGGCAGGCCCAGAAGTGCTGGGGTGCTTACATCCCCCCCACCCCCAGCACTCGTCTATCCATAAGGGATAAGAGTTGGGAGATAGTACCCTGGCTTCCTCACCTCTCCAATGAATTTGCAGGGAGCATGTATCAGAGACTGTGTTTCAGTGGTGGTCTGCAGAACAGAATTCCAGCTGTCACATCTGTAACCTGCTCACTAAAGCACCTTCTCTTGCTGGATTTCTTCCTTTCCCTGGCTTACAATCCCACTCCTCTACAGATGTTTCTTGGGATCACTTCCCAGATAAACGACTTGCTCTCAAATCCTTGTTCCAGGGCACCTTTTGGGGTTCTCAAGCCAAGACATTGTAGCTGCTACTCCTCACAGCCAATCACCTTGAAAATGACATCCACTTTCACCACACACATTTGTCTCCCCTCACTAACTCCTCTTGCACCACCCACTCACCCCTGCAAATTGGCTTCTCCTCTGTGCCCCTCCACAGCTGTGGATCTCAGGAACACCAGTGACCTCTGAATTTCCAAATCCAGTGGTCACTTTTCTCCTTTTTTTCACTTACGTTCCGTAGTGAACACCATTTTTATTTGTTTGGTTTTAGTTTTTGTGTGGCATCCCCTGTTCTTGACATTAGAACTCATCTTTCCCCTTGGAACCCATTTTATATGGCTGCAGTGGGATTGACACTGTCCATTACCGGCACAGGAAAGTGAATATCCAGGCTTGGTCCAACAGGACTATTCCATCCCTTTTGCCATTGGTAAAACATAGGAAAGTGACCCAAATTTGGCCAACCTGATTATTTCTGGGATTTTTCTACCGGAGCTATGGAGAAAGACTTTTTTTTTTTTCCCAACTGGAGTTGCTTGGCTGGAAGATTGTGTGGGACAGTGTGCAGCTTTATGTTAGAGAGGGAGGACCCTGTCTGAGAATTCAGCTTTCCATCCCCCTTTGCAATAGGCCTGGCCATGTGGCCATGTGAATATGATCTTGCCAACATAATGTAAGTGAAGTGATGTGCATCTCTTCCTAGTCTGGACCTTAGAACTTGGGCATGCTGTCTCCTTCTTCTCCTGGAGTTAGGACATACAGTTGATAACAGTAGTGGAACAGATGTAAGAAATTTACCAAGACTTGCATGCTGAGTCATAAGGCAAACTGCAACAAATTTCAAAGGACTGAAATAATTCTGAGCCCTCTCTCTGACCAGAGTGGAGTTAAGCTGGTTGGAAATTAAGTAATATACTTCTAAATAGCCCATGAGTCGATGAGGAAATCACAACGTATGAGAATATATTTTCTAACTGAATGATAATAAAAATATGGGATATCAGAACTGGTAAAAACAAAAAAGTTGTGCTTAAATGGAAATTTACAGCTTAAAGTACATATGTTACAAAAAGAAGAAAGACCGAAAATCAACTAGCTAAGCTTCCATTCCATGAAACTAGAAAAAAAATAACAAATCAAACCCAAAGTAAATGGAAAGAAAGAGAATAATTGAAGAAGCCAAGAAAATAGAAAACAAATGTATGATAAAGAACTCAACAAAACCAAAAGGAAGTTTAAAAATTTTTAAAGACAATTTAAATTGTTAAGCATTTGAGACAGACAAAGAAAAATGAAAGAAGGCACAAATCACCAATATTAAAATGAAAAAGGGAACATCACTAGAGATCCTGAAGACATTAAAAAGAATAAGATACTATAAACAGTTTTGCAAATGAATTTGAAAATTTGTGTCAAACTAGACAAATTCCCTGAAAAATCCAGTTTACCAAAACTGACACAGAAATCCGAAATCTGAATAGTCCCATATCTATTAAAGAGATTAATTCCGGAAAAGGGAAAACTATAGAAAACAGATTCGTGTTTGCCTGGGTCTGGGGGTAAAAGGAGCTGACTACAAAAGGGAAGGAGGAAATTTGGGGGGTTTGATGGAACTGTTCTCTATCTTGATTATGGTGGTAGTTACATCACTGTATGCCTTTGTCAAAACTCACTAAACTGTACACTAGAATGAGTGAATCTTACTGTATGTCAATTATAATTTTAAAAACCTGATGAAAATGTGTGTGTGTGTGTGTGTGTGCATGAGGAGGGGAGGCAGGTAGGATTTTGTTACTAAAATTACTCCTGCAATGAGAGCTCCAGGATCAAATAGCTTTATTGATGGATTCTTCCATACATTTTTTAAAAGTTATGAAGAACAGGAGAAAACACTTCCCACTTCAATTTATGGGGCCAGGGTAATGTTGATTTTAAAACCTGGCAAGGGCATTACAAGGAAGGAAAATTACAAATCAATCTCTTTTATGAACATAGATGTAATAAAATTCTAGATAGATGTAAACATTCTTAAAAAAAAACATTAGCAAATATAACCCAACAATGTAAATATAAAGGATAATACTTCATAACTCAGTGGGGTTAGTGCAAGGGTGGTTTAATATTAAAAGTTAATCAGTGGGAAGGAGTAAAATTATCTTTATTTGCAGATGACATAATCTCTTATGTAGAAAACTGTAAAGATCACACACACACTGTTAGAACTAGTAAACAAATTCAGCAAAGTTGCAGGATACAAAATCAACACACAAAAATCAGTTGCATTTCTATGCACTAACAATGAACAATCCAAAAAGGAAATTCATGGGCCAGCCCAGTGGTATAGTGGTTAAGTTCATGCCCTTCGCTTCGGCAGCCTGGGATTCTCCTGTTTGGATCCCGTGCGCGAACCTATGCACCGCTTATCAAGCCATGCTGTGACAGGCGTCCCATATATAAAGTAGAGGAAGATGGGCACAGATATTAGCTCAGGGCTAATCTTCCTCAAAAGACAACAACAACAAAAAATAAATAAAAAGGAAATTAAGAAAACAATTCCACTTACAATAGCCTTAAAGAGCCGGTTCAGTAAAGCAAAATTAAAAAAATAAAGCTATCATTTTTCACAGATGACACGGTTGTATACATAGTAAATCCTAAGGAATCTACAATTAGAATGAATAAGTGAATATAGCAAAGTCACTAGATACAAGGTAAATATACAAACATTAATTGCATTTCTATATATCAACAAAGAAATAGGAAATGAAATTTTAAAAAGATACAATTTATAATAGCACCAAGAAATGTCAAATACTTAAGACTATCTAAGGAAAACTTTGCAACCTCCACACTGAAAACTACAAAAGGTAATTA